AGGTGATTTTGGAACGCGAGCATAAATCTTAATGAGCCAGTCAATTTATCCCAACTGCTCCGACAACCACAAGCTGACAGGAAGTCCCTAACTATCTCACTGTGTTTGTTCCTGTGTCGGTTTGCTCGCTTGTTGTGTGTTGATTATGTCTGTGTTTTTCACTGAGCCATTAATTTATGCAAATGTTACTGACAAAAAAAATAATACATCTTCTCTGGCTGAGTTGTTTATGTTTGTGTGTTTAGGAGCTTTACACGCCACTGATGAGCATTGTTAGCCATCATTTACTATCTTTGGCTCCATTGTGCTTCAGCCAGCCCATGTTTCTCATGATGCGAGTCTTATTGTTGAAGATGGAAGCGGGAGATCAGGTTACTGATACAAAAGGTCAGAAGAGCCACAGAAAACATTGCAAGTGTTCGAGTTTATTGTTGCTCTGTTAGTTTCATCTTCTCCCCTTTTCTTTTCTTTCCCGTCATCTTCCCCTCCTGTTTTTTTCTCTTCCCCCTCTGCCAACAGCTGACTGCGGAGGGGATGCTGTGGCTCGAGGTGGATGCTTCAAGCTATTGATCTAAATTATGCTGTCTGCAAACTCCTGAGAGAGTCATAAGGAGGGGGGGTGTGCAGCTGTGTGAGAGAAGAGAAACTCAAAGAGCATGCAATTGAAGAAGGCAAATAACTACAGCTGAAAATGTAAAAGACGGAAGAAAAAAGTTCAGCAAAGGCATAATGGGTTGGCAAGAAAGCCTGTGATGAACAACTGTGGTGACAAAAGAAGAAAGAATGTAGTGTCGGTGTGGTGGATGAGGATTTGTTTTTGGATTTCAAGGGTTTTGCCAAAATTTTGTCACACAATTCAAACTATGGTCTGTTACGTCCTGATGCATCTCAGTAATCCAGGTAGAAAACAATCAAAAAGAAATAAATAAGTAGGTCCTCTGGATGGGTTCTTCTTCAGTGAAACGTTTCGTCTCTCGTCCAAGAGACTTCTTCAGTCTGATGAGTTTCAGGTGAACTCAGCCTTAAAAGCACTGCCTCCACATGATGGACAAACAGGTTAGTCACATGCAAAAGAGAGCCATCGCCTAACAGTAGGCTTGATTGGCTCCATTTAGTCACATGCAATGCTGTTTGTCCAGGTAAGAAGTAGAGCTACTTCTCATTCTAGTCCTTTTTGGATTAAAAACTGCCTTTGAGGAAATGTATTTTATGATGCTAAAGAGACTACCTTCTTTTTAAGCTTCCCGCGGATGACAAGGCTCTTCAAAAATGGTCGCACTTCAATTTTTGGAAGTAAACCTCCAAATAAAATCAAGGATGTACGAAAGTACGAAATGAAAATGTTATATTTGTGCAAGCTACTGTATGGATGATAACTTTCTGAACAAAATGGAATTTAACAGTGGACTGATGACAAAGACGATGTAATTCCAACACTCGGACACAAACATCGCTGTCGTCTGCCCAGGTGAGCTGAAAATCAACTCAGGTTTCGTTTGGTTGTTTGGTCGATCTGTGATCTACGGTAATCATTCTTAACTTATATTACGATCTGTGTTCTTTAGTTGGCTTACACCAGATTTTAGTAATAAATAAATTAGTTTAACATTGACGTGTGTGAGGATGACTGGGAGATATCTTACCAGCTGAAACATCTCTCTGTACTCACTCCGGTTCTTCAGAAAACATATTTTCCGGATCCGACAGTAAGTTTCAGTTGTATCCTGAGTTGCTATTTTTCCAAAACTGATATCGTATAAAGTTGCTGCTTTTTTATTATTATTATAACAAAGTATGCTACAATGCTCCAGGTTGTACACGTCATGAAGCTGTTGTGATGAGGTGCAGAAATGGGTGGAAGCAGTAGGAGGTTCTTAAAAGACAGAAGCCAATTTAAAAGAGTTTAGAAACAGATGTGATGTGAAGTCAAATTAGATTTTGGTTCATTTGAACAAACAGCATTTTCATCACAACTGAAGATGACATAGTTGCTTAATTTTGGTATAGAATTGAACTATGCCTGAGAAACACATAATACTGACCCTTTAAAAGGAATAATCTTAGGGAGTTTAGACTTTTTTATTTGTTTGCACCTTTCTGGTTAAACACTAAAAACTAAAACACGTGTTTCCTAAAAGTTGCTGCCTCCAACAACTGTCAGGTAAACTTTTGAAGTGCTGTTAGGAGTCTTATTATGAGTCATGATTTTGAGTATTAAACACAACGCAGCAGATGGAAACACCGAGTAATTTAATAACTGCCAAGGGCTGGTTAATACACAAACCCCAATCCATTGTCATATAAAGACTCAATAAAGCCTGAGCTCTACTGTGAGTTCACTGTGATTTGTTCAGATTTTAACATTAACTAAACCATACATGTGCCAATCATTAAATATGGTTAGCTTTTGAGGAAAAACCATAAAGGCACGTGCATTTCTGAAGGTGAGTGAAATATAAAATGTATGTGGTAAAATTGACTATATTTCTAATTATGTCCAGTTCTTACAGCTTCATAATTAAAATCTGAAACAAAAAAGTAAATTGTCAACAAATACAGAAAGCTGATAATCTCTGGACGACATAACTCTTTGAAGGTTTGGCTGCGATGATCACGTGACATCCTGAGAATCCAACAACCCTTCAGATTTAACCTGGTTTAAACACATAATTCCTCCAATATTCTCCACTGTGCTCCATTCTGCACAGAGACCATGGATCATATTATGGTGTGTTGGCCAACTGTGCTCTGAAGAGTTCATCTTTAACACATATTGGTAGCATTCATCAAAGATTAGAAAAAAAAGGCATCTGAGAAAGGATGTCACGCTGTGAGAAAAATGGAATGAAAAACAGACATTCTCTAGATTAAGAAAAAGTAAGAAATGTCTTTTAAAAAAATGAAAGAGCAAAGGAAAACTGGAAAATGTGTTTTTTCCAATAGATGACTTTCTTCTTCCTCGTAATTGTAAGAGTTCGACTAGACGGCAGCAGAGTTTTTTATTTGTCTGTTGAAGGAGTTTTATTTTTAATGCGAGAGACTTCTTTAATCCAGGTTATGAATTGGCAGTTTCAGACTCATAAGTTATTGTAAAAGCATTATTACATTAACTTAAAGGGCCAATATTATGTGTTTCTCAGGCATACATTTAAATACTATACCATAATAAAGTATCTATG